CCCCCCCCCCCCCCCCCGGGCATAAGGGCCCCTAATCTCGTACCCAGATCTCACTCTGTTTTACACTGAAAAGTGAGATCTCCTTTTCCCTTGGCCGTGGGAGATCTGGGTACGAGATTAAAAGGCTCCTGGATGGGAGTGAAATGGCATAAATAGTTTCGTCATATTCTGTAACGGTCACTTTTGATCACTTTTGAAAAAGTATGATGACTAGCATACGAAACCGTCGAATTTATGTAAAAATGCGAAAGTTCATAATATGTTTATCACCGCTGTTTGTGTTTTATTTTTGATTAAGCTTCGATGCCCCATGAACATAAGTCTTTATGTTCCCATCCTTGGCTTCCCTTTAACATCCTAGCGTATGAAAAAGAGAAATTACGATGCTTCAATTGCATGTAATGGCTGTTTACAAACGGAAATAAGCTTGGATAGGTTCTGCTCACTTAAAATGTTCTGGCGCCAGCAGTCTCGCACGTAATTTGTCTTTTCGAAATTCTAGTTGTACCAAAACTGTATATATGCATATATCAATAGTGTTCCTAAAGTTCCTTTGTTCTGCTCAATTTGTACTCTTCTAATCTACCTTAGTCTTTCGACAGAAATCTAACTCTGCTCGAAATCTGCCGGCACAATATATAACAATCTAAACGGAAGGATGAGGTTCCGGTTAGTCCTAGAATTTTAATTTTGATGCGGTTGAGGAAGTCTAGTCAAGGATCTGACCGTCATTTCTATCAAGTCAATTAGTGAAGTGGACAGCTGGATGAACCATGAAATTTCCTTCAGTAGCTTTCTTATGCTGCATATCACTATGCAGTGTCTTAATAGCAGTGTTTTGTGAATCCAGCGCAGACGGCAGATGCAAAAGTCTTGTGAATTCTCCTTTTAACATCTGCACATCAGCGGGCTACAATTTTTCCTTCTCTTTGCCTGAGAGGCTAAACAAGCCCGAATTTGAAGACGTGTTGGCGAGCGCGTTGAAAACTGCCGTACAAATATGGGAAAAATGCGCAGACCTCAACCTGGTGGTGACCATGGAGTGCTCGAGTACGTTTCCTAAGTGTGGCAACGGCGGGAAGCGCGTGCTTCCTTGCAAGCGTGTCTGTGGAGAGCTTTTAAAGAAGTGTTTGTACACTGATTTTCGTGGATCTAGCTTCATGCAGAAGTACATGGAAGAATTACTCGTTTTGTGTCTTAGTCTTCCCGATGAAGAACCAAGCGACGAAAAGTGCGTCGAGCCGCCAAACTTCAGGACAAACGACAGCATACCAAGTAAGTACCAATACCTTTATAAAGTGCCCAATGCCAGAAGGGAGACGAGGGTGTTAGAGACAGGGTCGTTATCTTGAAAAGGAAATAAGAGACGTTTGCAGTACGCTTCAGTTTTATCAACAGATAGTGATGGCTCAGCCTACTGTACGAAAAAAATGATATCTTTAATTTACCCCCCCCCCCCCCCCCACTTCCTTTCAAGATTTGCGCTGTTTTCTTGCCATTTTGGGTGCGTTTCTTCATGCGGAAATTAGATCCTTGATCTCCACCGGGCCTCGTCCACGCGTATCTATATATTCCGGAGATTTTTCGGGCACCAAAAGCGCAGTTTTTTGGAAACAGTCCCCATGGTGGAGATTTTTTGAAAACGCGCGCTTATGGTTTTAAGGTGAGCCATTCTCGTCCCTAGAGCCACTCGGCTTAATTTGTAACCGACCAGGAAACGACGGGCTCTGGGGACGAGAATGGATGTGAGCGGACGAGAATATGTTGATGTCATTCATCATTCAGCCCATGCT